ATATATTATTGAATAGAAAACAAATTTGTTCTGTAAACTTTCATCCAAACTACAACAAAAAGTTCTCCTGCAAAAGTCATTTTATAATGACTAAGAACTTTATAAGTTCCTCTCCTTACAAGGAAGATTGGGTAAATCTAGCAAGAGATACCACCTCAGAAACACAAGGACGGGTCACTATGAGTCAAATTGACTTGAGGGAAGTGAGTTTGTTTTTTTTTTCCTGTTTTGGTATAATTTTTGCAAACTATCACAGTGACAGAGAGTTTTCAAACTGTTCACTTACCAGCACTTCCTAAACACCAGCCACCACCATGAATGTAAAACACACCCCTTCTTAGTGCTTCTGACTTCCTCTTTGGCACATATACACGGACAGGAATGCTGTTGAATGTTGTCTCGGTCACCATAACATTTTCGTCTGAGATTGGTGGGACTTCATTAAAGCTCATGACAATCATAAAGAAATCCATAAAATGTTTAATTCCCAGAAGCTCAACAAACGTAGCCTAAAAGTGAAATTAAAATTTCAAATTTCAGAAAGACTATCAACATGTAAGTATATGTTAACCACTAATAGGCACAAATGAAGTGAACTAATTTCTCACATATACATCCTGTTTGATAGTTTCAGAAGAATCAGAATTTCAGAGGTGTTAGCCTGCTGTGGCTGTAAAAAGGAGGATGAACTTCCATTTAGTCCCGAAAGTTACACAGATGTACAAGAAAATGTTTTATCCAAGATTCTTAGAGTTAAATGGGAAAGACAGATAAGCAGTTACTAAACAAGGTAAATCTTATAGAGCTCAACCCAAGGTACTTTGGCAGTACAGGACAGGTAATTAATTACAAATGCTACTTCAGAGCAGCAAATGAGAATTTTCAAACAGGAAGTACAATTTCATTAGTCTTGGAAGCAAGATCATTTTTTAAGAATTTGGCTAAACAAAGGAAGGAAAAATCCTTGCAGAGCCAGTGGTACCTTTGAAATGGAGAGGTTCTTGATATAGCTACTTATGGTTAAGGTGCACTTGGGGACTAACAGTCAGGGTTAGGAGAGAAAGTAACGGATGGGAGCAAAACGCAGTGCCAGACTTCCAACTGCATCCTGATTTTTCACCTTACAATTCAGTGTTCTAAGCACTTTATGTGTATTAATCTTGTCTCAATCTCAATACTTTTAGTAACTTAGATCCATTTCAGAAATGAAAATAAGTTCAGAGAGTGTAAATAAGCAGTTCAAGTTAACACAGCTAGTAGGTGATATTTACCAAGATTGTAAATCTAGCAATTTGATTCTAGATTTAATGATCATAGCACAGTCTTTCAATAAATCTAGTTACTCAAAGATTTGTAGCCATTTGAGTAAACTCATCAAGGGGGAAAAAAAAAGAATCAAGAATACTATTGACCACAAATAAAATCCAGATAGTTCAGAAGTAAGCATAAATTAAAATAATTTAAAATATATGTATTCTTTGAGAGCTCTGAAAATATATTCCATTGATAAATCATGGACAAGCTACAATATAAAGCTACCAAAAAAGAAGAAAAAATTAAACATTACCAATATGATTTCTTAAGTAAATTTTTCAAAGTAGTTAATAGAAGGACTCAAAGATACCCCCCAAGTTGTACATCAAAAAGAGAAAGAATGAAAGAAAATTGTTCCCCCTTCAAACTAACAGTTTTACTTTAGACATAGCACTAAATTAAAATTGACAACCATTTCTACAAAATCTTGTATGATATTATCTCTTGCCTTTTTAAACAAAATTGCAATACTTTGTCCATCTGTCCCAGATGTGTCATACGATTTCTTGAACCTGGTAATATTTTGCAGGGACTTTTGTACTTTGTTGCTGTCTGTGAATGGGAAGGGTATTCCTCAATAGTTAGTGTAGCTGGTTCCTTTTCAGCCTGCTGGTCTCCAGGCAGATACTTTCTCTTCAGAAATGCTTTCTCTTCAGAAAGGCTTTCTCGGACCATAAATGCATTAACCACACCCATGTCACCTTCCCACACTGTTCTTTTTATCCTGGTTTTCTGCAAAGCACTTCTCACATTCTGAAATAATGCATGTTTTATATTCTGATTTATTGATCTGTTTATTACTAGAATGTAAGTTGCATTGGGGCAGAGTCCTTGTTTGCCTAATAGAATTTGACTGAAAATTGAATTGTTGAATAAATGAGAAATAAAAGAGCAATATGAGAATTATATAATCCATCTGATTTAAGTCCTAGAAAGAGACAGTAGAAAAAGAGAAGGGATGATATGATCACTAGTCTATGCCATGAAATTTGGAAGACAGACACCTGGCCAACTGACTGGAAAAGATCACATATTTATGCCCATTCCAAAGAAAGGTGATCCAACAGAATGTGGTAATTATTAAACAGCATCACTAATATCACACACAAGTAAAATGTTGCTGAAAATAATTAGAAAAACATTTGCAACAGTACCTCAAAAGGGAACTGCCAGAAATTCAAGACAGATTGAGAAGAAGACATGGAACAAAGGATATCATTGCTGATGTCTAATGGATCTTGGCTAAAAGCAGTGAATACCAGAAAGGTGTTAACCTGTGTTTTACTGACTATGCAAAGGCATTTGAATGTGTGGATTATGACAAATTACAGGTAGCATTGCAAAGAATGGGAATTACAGAATACTTATTTTTGTTCATGAGGAACCTGTACATACATAGACCAAGAGACAGCGTTCAAAGAGAACAAAGGCATACTGCAGAGTTTAAAATCAGGGAAGGTGTGTGTCATGGTTGTATCCTTTTATCATACTTATTCATTCTGTATGCTGAACAAATAATCTGAGAATCTGGACTATATGAAGAAAAATGCAGCATCAAGATTGAAGGAAGACTCATTAACAACCTGAGATATGCAGAGCACATGATCTTGCTGGCTGAAAGCAAAGAGGAGTTGAAGTACTTACTGATGAAGATCAAAGACAATAGCCTCCTGTATGGATTATATTTCAACATGAAGAAAGCAAAAGTCCCACAAATGGACCAATAAGCAATACCATGAAAATGGAGAAAAGATTGACATTGTCAAAGACTTAATTTTACTTGTATTTATCATCATGGAAGTAGCAGTCGAGAAACCAGAGGGTGTATTACATTCGGCAAATCTGCTGCAAAAGACCGCTTGAAAGTGTTAAAGAGCAAAGATGTCACTTTGAAGACAAAAGTTTGTCTGACAATGAATAAAGAAGGCCAAAGAATAACTGATACATTTGTATTATGGTTTTGGCAAAGAATATTGAATGCACCATGCACTGCCAGAAGAAGGAACAAATCTGTCTTAGAAGAAGTACAGCAGGAATATTCCTTAGAAGGAAGGATGATGAGACTTTGTGCTTTGGTGGTGTTATCAGCTGGGACCAGTCCCTAGAGAAGAGCACCATGCTTGTTAAAGTAGAAAACAACTGCTAAAAGTCAATTCCAATTCATAGTGCCTCTATGGGACAGAGTAGAACTGGTTCATAGAGTTTCCACGACTGTAAATCTTAACACAAGCAGAGTCCCTCATCTTTCTCCCATGGAGCAGCTGGTGGGTTTGAACTTTTGACCTTTTGATTAGCAGTTGAATTCTTTAACCACTGTGCCACCAGTACTTTTTGGTAAAGTATTAAAAAAAAAAAAAAAAAAAACTCACTGCCATCCAACTCATAGTGACCCCCATTGGGTTTCCAAGGTGGTAAATCTTTACAGAAGTCCCATTTTCCTTCTATGGAGCAGCTGGTGGATTTGAATGACCAAACTTCTGGCTAGTGGGCAAATGCCTTAGGCATTGTGCCATCAGAACTCCTTTGGTAAAGTACAGGGTTTGAAAAAATAGTTAGACCCCCAATAAGATGAATTGACACAGCAGCTACAACATTGGGTTCCAATACAGCAATGATTGTGAGAACAATGCAGGACCACTGTTTCATTCTTTTATACATGGCTTTCTATTATTCAGAACTGACATACCAACAGCTAACAAAAACAACAACAATATAATCAAAGAAATAGTATAAAAACATTCCCAAGGTACCAGAAAGAACCACACCTTTTTCTCAGGTCAACATTAGAGCTACTCTGGCAGGCAGCCCCCTTACCATTACACCCCAGGGCCTACCCTTTCATTTCAGCATATCACACCTCTCACAGCTAACCATTGGCATGTGCCAACCATTCTCTCTACACAGTATTTCCTTCTATAAAACCAAAAAATACCAAACTCCACAGCAATCAAGTTGATTCTGACTCATAGCGACTTCCATTGAGTTTCCGAGGTGGTAAATCTTTACAGAAGTAGATTGCTCCATCTTCCTTCCATGGAGGAGCTGGTAGATTTGAACCACCAACCTTCTGGTTAGCAGTCAAATGCCTTAGACACTATACCACCAGAGATCCTTTTCCCTTCTATACACTGAATCTAGGACTAAAAATAAGTATGAAACTTGTACAAAGCTGCACAATCAAATGATCTCAATTTATTTATGAATTTAAAGACCAAGAAATATCTAAGGGAAGAGTTTTGAACAACCACTGCTTTCATATGACTGCTACTGAAAGAAGGATCATTTAGTAAAACCTATTCAAATGCCTCCTTGCTTTTTCTTCTTGATATTTTTTAACATAATTCTGATGTATAAAATAGAAAGCAAAAAAAGTAAGAAATAAGCATGCAACATTTTAATAGCTAAAAGGCAAAGGTTGGAGCACCTATTTTAAAAAGGTAAATAAATAAGTAACACAAAATGACCAAGGAACAGAATCCTGGAAATACTAGTTCTCCATCTTAAATGGTTATGTAAGCACAAATGAATCCATAAAATTCCAAACTTACCAAATGCATTACAGTTTTCAACTGTATGTTCAACAACATCATTTTCCATGGCTCCTCAAAATTATCTGGGAGAGGTGTGTAAACGTAATATGCTGCTAGGACCCCCACAAGCAGAAGGCACAAGGATTTTCTTCCCATGCTGTAGCTCCTGTGGACTGCCTTCTTTGGAAACACAGAAATCTGATATACTAGAACAGTGTGCTTTTGCAGCCAGTGTGTTTCAATCCTGCCTAGAATCCGTATCTTACTTTTTGAATACAGAGTTACTCACTTAAGGTTTAAGATTAGCATAATCATGTTAAAATTCCATTGGCTGTCTAGAAATAACTACACCGAGTAAAAGTTCAAGGTTCATTGAGTAACATGAAACTTTGGCAACTTCTATTAACTTCCACACTCTTGTTTTCATTCCAGTAAACAAACGTGTGGAACAATAACTGGGTAAAGACTACTTTAATTCTAACAAAATTGTCAATACAAAATATACAGGACACATAATCCTTGTTCTAATTTATCTTGGAATAAAAAACAAAAACAAAAACAAAAGGACATAATTTTAAAGTTTTGGCAGTAGAGGAAACAAGATAGTTGTAATCTCTCACCTGATAGAATTTATATTGTCATGCACAATATGAAGAAAGTCAGCATGTTAGCAATGACGTCTGATAAATTTTGATAGGAGAGTGTGGTAGTTATGTTTGTGTGTCAACTTGGTTGGGCCTGGTTGAGTGGCTGGGCAGCTGGTAGCGGTTATTCGCCATGATGAGACTGGCAATAAACTCCATGGTGGGATCTACCACAAGCAGATGAGTAGCTGCCTTAGGGAATGTGGTCTGCTTCCTGTATATAAGTAGAAGCCTTGGGGAATGGTCTCTAGCATATGGCATGCTTGGACCCTGCATGTAGCTGTGTCATTATTCAGCAGCCTGCTATGCTTTGCTGACCTTCGAACTTACAATCGACTTAAGTTGATGGCCTGCCATGTAGTTTGGTAACATCGGGACTGTGCCTTTTTACTTGCCAACCTTGGTCTTGGCAGCCTCAGCAACCAGCAGCTGTCTGAGTGAAGACAAGCCTCTAGCTTCAGTGGGCCAGGAGCTGGAGGCAGAGTTGAAGCCCAAGGCTGAAGGCTTTCATCCAGTCCCTAGAGCCTGGCACTTTGAACTTGGACTTAAAGCCTCCAAATTATAAGAATAATCTTCTGTTTGTTAAGGTAATCCATTTCTGATGTATTTTTTGTCAGAGCAGTACTAGGTAACCAGAACAGAGTTACATAATAGTGATAACAGTACTGATAAAAATAATAGTAACCATTTATTAAACATTTTCTCTATGATCTAGTCACTATTCTAAATGATTTGTGTATATAATCTAATTTAGTCAAAGCAATAATTCTATGAATGAATATTATTATTTTTCCCATAAACAAGTCCAGTGAGTTTTAAAAAGTTTAAATAACTTGACCAAGGACAAAGAACTTTATGTGTGTGAGCCAGAAAAATTCAGATGGCTAAGGGTATACATAGAAAAGAGTATTTTACAAAGTTTTCAGTTTTCCCCAGGTTATAGTGTGTGTGTGTGTGTGTGTGTGTGTGTATTTTAGAATATATGGAAAGGTAGAAAAATAAAAATTTATATTCCCACATTGCAGAGTAGGACTGTATATTCCTACATTGCACTGTTTATCCCTTAATGTAATTCCTACCATATATCTTTCTACAGACTTACATAGACATGTCCTTTTGGCATACATACCACGGGTCTTTGAGAATTTTTCTGATTTTTGGCACATTTTATGGCCTGACTCATCTAGTATTTTTCCTGCCTTAACTAGAGTTAAGGAGCTGCTGTGCTGCAGAGGCTAAGGCATTTAGCTGCTGACCCAAAGGTCAGTGGTTCAAACCCAACAGCCACTTCACAGAAGAAAGAGGGGGCAGTCTGCTACTGTAACAATTTATAGCCTTGGAAAACAAATGGAGGTGGCTCTGAGTGGGAATCGACTCGATGGCAGTGAGTTGAAGACTTGGGAGTGCTGCATCTGGCAAAATGGCACAGGTCACAAACTGAAGCAACATGATAGGATTAATGGTTTTCTTTTTTCTTTTTTAAGGAATGGGGGCCAGGCAGATGCCCTGCATATTCTGCAAGAGCAATCCCTGATGTATCCGCTCTGCTTTATTTATACATAAGTGTAAAATTACATCATTATTCTTGGAATTCCCCTATTACAATCAAGTATATAATCAAGTATACAAACAAGTATACAGTCAAGTATACAATCAAATATTCTTTTACAATACAATCACATATTTCCTTATAGCAATCAAGTATTCTTTAGAAGTTAAAATTTTACTCTTTCCCATACTCAGAGGTCTTTTCCCATGCTCAAATGTAGTGGATGGTTAGTTGGGTTAATATCTCTTGCAGGATTAGCAAATAATCACTAAAATTGTTATTGTTACATGCCGTCGAGTCGGACCTGACTCATAGTGACCCCTTCTTGGGTTTCCAAGGCAGTATCTCTATGGAAGTAGATTGCCCCATCTTCCTTCCGAGGAGTGGCTGGTGGGTTTGAACTGCCAGCCTTCTGGTTAGCAGTCAAGTGCCTTAGCCACTATGCTACCAGAGTTCACTAAAATACATGATTCCAAAACATAATATGATTGTCAAGGTGCATGATTCTAAAGAATGGTTTCTAAGGTATACTATTCTTTGAGGAAAACGTTATTCCAGGGAGACAGGTTAGCAAACATTCTGCTGGGGCAAGGTTCCGCCCCAGGAACACAAAGCTCTGAAGCCAAGCATTTATTTATTCCTTCAACTGCAAGAGAGGCCTTGCCATCTCTCAAAGCAAGCATTCAACCATGCATCTCTCAACTGTAATTAGAACATGTGCCTTGCAATTATGTTCTTTTGGGGTTCTTTTTCTTGGTCTCCAACATTTCCTCCCTTTTTATTTTTTAAATGAAGTAAATGTACTTCAATAGTTAAAGATCAAATTAAATATTAAATTAATCTCGGGACCCAAAGAATAATAAGTAATATGATTAAAAACATAATTAGGTATGGTAAAAAATGATATAAAAATGTAGGCATGCTCTTAAAAGGGTTGTTGTTGTTGTTATGTGCCATCGAGTTGGCCCCGACTCATAGTAACCCCTCCTTGGGTTTTGGAGACAGTATCACTATGGAAATAGATTGCCCAACCTTCCTTCTGAGGAGTGGTTGGTGGGTTTGAACCACCAGCCTTCTAGTTACTTAAAAGGGTTAAGACCTTTAAATTCGTCAAGTGTTGAATTTGCAACTTGATTTAGATCAACCACAGGTGTATGACTATCCTTTATCCTTTGAATATCTTTTTGGAATTCCTGAATTTCAAAACTAATATTTGAACTACGCCAAACTCCTAATATTATGATTTTGATTTTTTTCCCAAGTGAATTCAGGATCACTGAAATTCACAGGGTATGATGTCACACATATGTATTCATACCGATAATCACAATGTAATGTCTGCCTTACTCTTATCACTTCTAACTCATCTCCTAATGATAGTACTGCTTCCTCTAACATATCTACATTGAGCTTAAAATCCTGATCAATATTTTCTTGATCTACTAATGCCTTTATGATATTTCTGGCAATCTCTTCTACATAGTGGGCTGTCTGAATAGAAGATTGTAGTGCAACAGCAGCCACAGTCATAGTAGTTTATCATTACGGCAACAGTGGTTATGCCTGTAATCAAAAGTCCAATAAAGCACTTAGATCTACTATGCCCTTGATGTACTAAGTACAGTGAATGTTCTCCTGCTGAATGAAACCATCCATTTGAAATATTCACTGGTTAATTGTTTAGGAGGTCCACAAAAGGCAAAACAATGTAATAAATGATGGGAGCTCTGGTAGCATAGTGGCTAAGACACTTGCCTGCTAACCAGACGGCTGGCGGTTCAAACCCACCAGCCACTCCTCGGAAGGAAGGTTGGGCAA